CCACTGAGTATTCCTAAGGGGAGAACTCAGTAACCATTCCATCGTGAACCGTGCCTTTGAGAACAAGCCTATAAGTTGCACTTTCGCCCTGCGCAGCATATGGGTTAGGTTTGAATTCCAGCGGACTATTACAGTAATTGTTGCGAAACCATGTGCGCGGTAGTGGTTTCGTGGGGATCGCGGTTTGGGAAAGTGGGTGTGAAGTTACGTTTCGACTGTTACAGGGGTGGCGATACTTCTCCACGAATTCCCACGACAGGCGGCAGTGGTTCCACGGCGACTACAGCATCCTTCCACTGAGAATTCAAACCTTTCTTTTCAAGGAGCGCTTTTGCGCGCTATTGGGTGTGGTGAGCGCGACGTGGTCTTCGGGTAGCAGTACCAACATTCCTTTCACAGCCTTGTCTGATACGTTTGTGAAGGGCCACTGACCCCGAATCGACTAAATCAAAAGGAAAGGTTCCGTAATCTCACCGCAAGCTTTGGAAAGAATAGCCGCCATCAATCCTTCGTCATTGGGGTTGGATAGCCTTTTGAAACATACCTCGGCTTCCGCGCTCTCATGAGTGCAGTCTTGAAAAACATAGTTTTAAGCGGCGTTCCGGGTGTTTCAGTGAATTAGTAGCAACCTGGCCGCATCTGAATGGCTGTGAAGTGTTTCATGTACATTACGGCTTATTTCCTATACTGGTTCTTGAATCCCAATTTTGCCAATCCTTTATCACTGTCTTCCTCTTTGAAAGGTTTTGCTGGCATCCCTTGGAGAAACAGGGACAGCAAACCTAACAAAAATCATATCCATGATAAGAGATTTGATCGATTGTTCCCTTCAGATCTAAATCTGGTCCAAACTAGAAATATGCTCGGGGGCGAATAGCTCGATTTATCGATTAGTGCGCGAAAAATTTCCGAGCGCCTATCTGGTTACCTTCCTGAAAAGCCTTTAGTACTACACTATTACTGCTATCTTGTTTCTGCTCCCTTCTTTGCGAACGCTACCGAATTGTTGCTTCTTGGGGCTCTGAATGAAACCCACTATCTTAAATTTGCGCTATGGTGCTTAGGCTGGTATGCTGTTATACTTTTGCAATTCCGCAAATTCGTCTCCGGCTTTGTTTCATGTTCCCCTCGCTGAGATGTATTTTTAGCTTTCCATAACTATTGTCAACCAAAATTTACTTCTTCTTTGCAACATAAAAATGGAAAATATTCGGAAAAATACAGTTGAAGGGTTTCTACGCCACTTTCCTGCTCTCTCTGCGAGGTATTATCCTCACGACCGATTCCTCCTTCATTCCAGCTTCTCGCATAAGGCCAACATTTTAATTATCCCAGTCCTTCTACCCTCTTTAGATTCTGACTTGAAATCCCACCCCTTTTAGCCCAGAATCGTTCCTAAACACCATTACAGGCCCGCGAAGCTTGCGCCTTAACTTTGCCTGTGCTCTAACCACGTTAGAGACGTGGCGTTAGAGACGCAGGCATCGAGTCCGCCAGTATTTAAGCAAGTCGGGTCCGGTCGATCCTGTTAGTAACTTTCTTTTTAATGAATTTCTCACTTCTTTCTTTCATTTGTTCGTTTGACTAGGTTACCTTTTTAAATGCCATTTTGATAGCTTTAACCTCAAGATTTCCCTCAATCAGCTTGTGCGCACAGTTATTGAACTGAGTTTATCAAGATATGTCATAAAAGATCATTCCCTCATATAAGGTCTAAATGACGCTATTCCAGAACAAACGTCTCTACAGAACCTTTATGGCTGCCAATAGCGAAAATCACTTGGAGGCACCAACTAACAAGTAGGTTCTCTTTAGCCAAATCCTGAATTTGTTTCTATATTACTACGGACAGCCTACTTACATGCTCATGCTTCTCTTAACCTTCGTTTCCATTGCATTGCTTGCATACGTGTTTGGAGGGGAATGGGGTGAGGAGGAAACGATACGAATTTAACAGCTCCTAAATTCATGAAGCCTAGAATTTGCTTTATTTATATTTAGGAATTCGGTGCCGAGCGAACCATCTTGCCCTGTTGGCAGTTGTAACTGTGGATCGTATGGATCTCCAGTGAAACTTCGTTGGAATCTCCGAGCATGCAGTGGTCGCCCGTTAAGCGATGTTTATTCACATGGTTTCAACTTGCACACGTTCTACATGCCTCAAAAAAAGAAAAGTATAAATTTGGGCATGTATTCTCGCTCAGTTGATGATCTGGGCGGAGGAAAACGTACTGATCTTCGACTTCAGATGATGGAAAGCTGTTCCAGCAATGCAGATTCCAGTAGCAGCTTCAACCCCACGAATTACCTTAGCAGGTCGTGCGCATCTTGTCTGAGTGGGCACCAATGTTTCTCATGTAATTCTCTTCTCGACAAATCTGTAGCGGATGAGAACGCGTATAGAATGGATAGAATGGAATCGCAGTACTCGATAAAACTCATCAAATACTCTGTGAATCCCCGCGAAGGCAAAATGGATTCTGGGAAGTCCGTGTTCCGTCGTTGCCCAACGTTCAGATCAATAGACAGACTTAACCGGCTACATCTGGAACTCATGAGTACTTTTTCCTTTCTTCCAGTATCCTTACGATATGATTTTGTGCCTAACGCTATATCTTGCCAGTAATCTTGTGCTGATAGAAAGCATGTTACTTTTTTCTCAGTCTTCACCTGGAACTTAAAAGATTCACCGTGACTAATGTTTAGCGATTGCAGTTGTTGACTGTTGCTTCTGATGGTTGATGAATGTAATCTGGAATGAATCGTTTCGCTTGTATGGTAAAATAAGCCCGATTATAGACAAGTTCATGTCTGATAGTATCTTGAAAGATTGTTTTTTCTTCATACAGGCGGATTAATATAACTAGTTGTAACGGACATTTTTCAGAACTCAACTCATCTGCTTCATTCTGCTGGCTTCACTGACCGTCCTGTCTATCATCACTAAGGTTTCGTCTTCAAAGTGCTTTTAACAGCGTCACACTCTGACATAGAGCGTCTTTGAACTAAGAAGATGTGTTGCTCAAAGTTATTTCCAGTTTCCAGGTTTTTCTAAGTTTTTTCTAATTCATTCTACCTCTTCGGAGAGGCTTCACCTTTTTTAAACACCAGTGCAACACCCGGCCGTGTTCTAAGCACCCGGCCCCGTGCAACCGTGTTATAACACGATCCAACCGGTTGCATGGTAGCATGGAATCACTAGAGTCTTGCTCAGCCTGTCATTCGTAGTCGATGACGCCGTGCTGCTGGTTGCTTTCCTTGTTTAATGTCGTCCTTATTAACGGTGTTGTTTAGAAGCTCTTGTAATGGCAACTTCTCCATTCTTTTGTTCTTTTGCACTCAAATGTGGCTTTTGTCCTAAGCCGCGCCAGCCCTTTAGAATTCTCATTTGCTATCCTTTCAGATCTTTCCTCGAAGTAAAGCAAAGAGAAAATAACTTCTTCTCATTAATGTCTTTTTGTCTCTGCTGTAAAAGACTAGGTATTGGTTAGATGTAATTTTTA